CCTTAGCAGCTTTCTCGTGAGAATCGGCTGCAGGCCATACTGCAGAGCCAGTAGCGCCATGATGCAAACCATTGAATACACCGGAGAAACACTGTTACATTGTTACCCTATCACGCCATTCATCACCTCACTCGCATCGCAAGCATCCATCACCTGAGCAGCTTCCTCGTGAGAATCGGCTGCAAGCCGTACTGCAGAGCCAGCAGCGCCATGCAAATCAACGCCTTGCTATTAGAAGCACCTCCCGTCCCTCCCCCTCGTCCGTGGATCCCGCTACGATCCGTGAATCGCGCTTTCTCCTTCCCATCGGTTCCACGTTTCGTCCCCTCCTTTCCATTCGCAAATCCGTTTTGAGAATTCTCGAAAGACGATTTCCCCTCCGCATTGACGAATTTCACTCTTTCTCTCCTTCCTCCGCCGTGCTTCGCGGCTCGTCAAAATCTGGCTCTTGCCGCTCGAGCCGCGGTCGACTTCTGGACGTCGCCGTCACCAAAGCTGGCTCTCGCGCACCGCTAACGGCGCGATTTTCCGTGACGGAATCCGTCTCATGTAATGTATCTTGTCGTGTCGCGCTGACAACCGCCGACTTCCTTGCTCGCATTTCCATGTCGGGTAATCTAACGACCATTTCTTTCGGTCTAGGTTCCACGTCACCCTACCGAATTTCACAGGTATCTCGAATCAGTGCAAACCTTACGGAATTAGTACCGATTCCGCTTTGCAGTGATGGATGCGAGTAGATTACAGTCAGTACGTTCATATATTAGTATCAACTGAGTACAGCAGGGTCAGAGGTTACGGTTGGTAGCTCACAGCCGCTCTTGAAATGCGCCTGGGCGAGCCAGAGCATCAAAGTCGACATCCCAAAACTGCACTGCGATGTCATGCTGTACCAAAGTCTCGTCGTTCATTTCATCTCCCTTGTTCCCATCCCAGGCTAGCATGTGGAATCGTGGATGCTCCACAACCACAACCACAACACCAACAGGCCTCTCTTGTCATGCCTCACGCCGGTCCCTGGGGCCTTCGTGTCCCTTCCCTTCATCTCCTCTTCACAGCCACATCCAGTCTCCCTCCTGTCTGTCACCTCCCATCAGGCGTGTCATACGAGTTCGTTTCAGCTCATGAATCACTGTTCAGACTGGTGGGTGACGGTTAAAACGCGGTGGAGCAAATCACCGCTCTAGAAAGCACATAACCTTTCTTCACCGCAGTTACTGAACCGAAAGTGAAGAAGTCTGACGCGCCCTTAGACCCTCGGGCCACAGCCACGATACGGCCCTCCGTCGTTGGTGCTGAACCAACCAACAACCGTTTTGGGAAATGATCAAAGAGGGGACGCACAAGTGATCGACCAGGGGCCGAGAGGCCCGAAACTGACCAAACCGCTGGGACAGGGGGGATTAACAGAGAGGTTCGTCACGGCGTGCATTTTCGCTCACACCTCAATATTCTTAGGATATCGTAAATGAATAATTTTTTCATCCGGTAGCGTCGTTTAGCAAGCCAGGTAGCGCTACCGGCGGTATCGGACGCTACCGGGAAATGTTAGGGCATCCTAAAACAAACTAGAACCAATAGGGAACCTGGACGCATTTCCAGGATGGATCAACCCTAAACACGGGAACCCGCCTGGTGTTTAGGGGTTGATGCCTCCCGAGTCGCATCCATTTCCGAACGGGTGTTATTATTTATGTCAGCTAAAGTGATGTTTTTTTTTAACGATTACGCATTTCATTTCCAAAAAAACAAACATGACGAAACCTACTTCCAGAGGAATGTGACGCAAGCTTCGTATTAGGCGGCGATCATAACCATGAAAACATTATTGAACCAAGAAAGTTGAGCAAAAGCAATTTCCTTTTTATCTTGGCTCGGATTCTTGGCCCAACCACTTTGGCAGCCCCAAGGGGTATATCTGACGGTTGGGATCAACCTGCCCTAATTCGGTCACCTCCCTGCTATTGTTCGGCCCCTATTTGATATTTCCCAACCGTTTTTTGCCAAGAGATGGACGGACGGGTGGATCTCTCTCTAAGTCCACGAGGTCACGAACTTCTGGAAGTTCCACAGCGATTGGGTGCGACGGTAGGGAAGAACTCTCTACAGTAACCGTTACGCGCCCCGGCACTGCGATTTGGGCCAAGCGCTTCTCTGCCAATGAGAGAGGGCCGCCGCAATTTCGCATAATAAAAACAGAAATACGATTTCCGTGCTGCAAAGGCGTTGCCATAACGCCGCATACAAAACCGGGGATACGGGCCTCAAGCAGGCTGCACTTCCCAGCTTTCCAGGGCGTATATGAAGCATGAGAAATGTGCACGGTTCTCTAATTATTTTATGTAAGCACTAAACAACAACAGCTTGACACAGCTGCAGCGACACAATCGTGTCACGCGGTCCACATAATCGACACTCTGCATGAACTTGCTGTGCTTGATTGCCTGTCGCCATCTCATTTCAGTGGAGTTTTGCCTTTGAAAATCGCGTCCTGATCAAATTTGACTTCAAATCAGCCACATATCAAGGCCGTGGAAATTCAAAAGCACGAAACACGGGAGATAGGGACCCTTGGGATTACGGAACTGAAAGAGGACATATGCTCCATCGCACAGGACCCGCAACCAATTCGCTCGTATTTGTAGAGAAATCGTTCTCGTCAATTGAGATGCTGATCGAGCGCGTCTTGGACTGAACGACGTGAATTTAGTTTTAATTGAGGCCCAGACTGACTCGCTCCATTCGTTTTTCCCGCTACAAACACTCCTTCACTGTACCTCCTCGAGCCGCGTGCTATTCTCCTGTTCAGTCCACGAAATTGCCTGAGATTCTAGGAATCGTCGCCAAGCTCAGTTGTTTAAATATGGACTACCATAACCAGCGGATAGGCCACTTGAGATTGCGTCATCTCGCGGGTTTGAGGATTCGATCGTTCAACGAATCTGACGTTCAGTGGAAACGCCTCTGCGCACCATTTATTACCATCTCTCGCCGCGTTTTACCTCGTATCACCACTCTTTACCCCGTCACACCAATTGTCACCACTTCTCACTACCCCTTACCGTCAACATGAAGCGCATGGCCTCCTCGTCTGAGCAAGCTATGAAACGGTACGTTTGTCACTCCATACTTCAAGCCCGTTCCTCGTTTTTCATGGCAGTTTGCAACAGTCTGCTTGCTGAAGGCAATGGTGACGAAATCCCCCTTCCTTGCTTGCTTCCTTGCTTCCGTCCTTCAATTGTCAGTATGAAACTCGCTTCTGCTTTTGAGACGCTTCAAACCTCACTTCTGCTTCTGAGACGCTTCAAAACTCGCTTCTGCTTTTGAGACGCTTCAAACTCGCTTCTGCTTTTGAGACGCTTCAAAACTCGCCTCTATGCGAGTGGAAAGAATCGTGGCGATTCCTTGTTCTTCTCTATTTATTTAATTCATGTATAGAAACAAAGTGTATTTCTTTGTTTCTTTCCTTTTTCTGTGTGTCTTGCATTGTCTTTCCCTGAGCAGCTGCCTCGAGCTGGTCCTCCTGGTGCTGCTCATTCTGCCAGTAATCGCTTCTCTCGCCGATGCAGCGGACACGAATGCGACCTCAAGCCGACCTAGAGCCGCTGGTCCTGACGACACTCCCCCCGGCACCACCACTCCCCCCGGCACCACCACTCCCCCCACCACCACTCCTCCCAGCACCACCACTCCTCCCAGCACCACCACTCCACCCGGCACCACCACTGATGAAGATGATACCACTGATGGCGGAAGTTTCACCATAAACAGCGGCAACAACAGCAGCAGCCCAGGTGGCAACAGTGGCAGCAGCAGCAGCAGCAGCAGCAGCAGCAGCAGCAGTGGCAGCAGGGCAAGGGCAAGCCCGGTGCCACCGCCCCCACCAGCGATTCGTCCTACGGCTGTAACGTGGACTTCAGTGCCCTCGCCAACGGGAACATCACCTGTACGTTGTCCATCCCCTTTCTGTATGCTCGTAGGATTTTTTTCCAGCCCTGTTAGCCCTGGCAGCGGCAGCAGCAACAGCAGCGGTGGCAGCAGGGCAAGGGCAAGCCCGGTACCAGCTCCCCTACCAACGATTCCAACCTACGGCTGTAACGTGGACTTCACCTGCCTCTCCAACCGGAACATCACATATATGCTTTTAGATTTCTTTGCACCCACAGTTCAAGCATTATCCACGGTGCTGTTACAATCGGTGCGTGTGACGCCAGTATATTCATTCTTGCACCATTTTAGATGTGAAAAAGACGCATGCATCCACGGGCTGTTCAAGTCGGTGTCTGAGAATTCTCAAAAAAGTTGTCTATTCCAGCCGTCCCCCATTTCTTTTCTCTTTCCCTTTCGGTTTTCTCGTCTGCACATGCTCCGCCCATATCGGTCTGCTCTGGCACCTACTCGGCTTAAACATGTCTCACCTCTGTTTCTCACCTCACCGCCTCGCCTGCCTCTTCATTTCCCCCGTGCCTTTTATCACCTCCAGCTCTCTCGGCCTGCTCTGGCCCGTCTCCATCCCCAGACGCATGCTGCGGGCCGCTGTTGGCGTTTCAGAGGAGCTTCGCTGTGAGGGAGCCCATGTTCTTCCTCGCCATCACCACACAGCCCGAGCTCAACACCCCTTGCAGGAAGGTACTGCGAAGCTGGTGCAGGCTAGACATCTCAGAAATCAAGGGCAAACCTCCCAACGACCTGCCAGGCTCACCTGTAGCCATCCCTTGTTCCTCCTCACGTCACTGTCGACAAGCCCAACTTTGACTCGTAAGGCTCGTGTAAAAGGTGAAGTTTTGATCCGTCTCAAAACTTCACTTTCTACACGTGGCTGTTCCTCCTCACGTCACTGTCGACAAGCCCAATTCTGACTCATGAAGCCCACTGACTTCTCCCGTTTTTTGTGGTATTTCTGCCCCTCTCCCTCTCTCATCCGCTCCCCAGTCCCTCCAGGTGCATCTGCAGGCATCACCTGCTCGGCCTCGCATCACTGCCAATGCCCTGATCCCCAACTCTGACAAATAACATGTTGCACTCGTGTGTCTCTCTGCTCCTCAACTCCCACCCTTTTCTGCTCCCAAGTCCCTCCAGGTGCATCTGCAGGCATCACCTGTCCGCCCGCGCATCACTGCCCATTGACCTGATTCCCAGCTCTGATTTAAAAGGCTTCGACTCTGAGCCTTCCTCCGTTTCGTGTGGTCTCTCTCCTCTCTCTCTGCCCATCTCCCTCCCCTCATCCGCTACCCAGTCCCTCCAGGCGCATCTGCAGGCGTCCCCTGTGCGCCCGCGCATCACTGCCAATGTCTTCTCCCTCTGCAACCCTCCCACCAACGCCTCCTCCTCCTCCTCCTCCTCCTCCTCTTCAGCCTCATCTCGTCGCAGTCTGCTCCCTCTGGTGGCGGTGGATCCGCCAAGCAACAAGTGCCCTGTGGTGTGGGTGCAGGACGTGGATCGACTGTAAGTGTATAAGGCATGTCTGATGAGAACAGCCATGTCTGCAGAATAAGTGCCTTGTCCTCATGCAGGGCATATTCTCTCAACGACAAGGTATTCTCCTTCTCTCACGTTGCAGTCTGCTGCCTTTGGTGACAGTGGATCCGCCAAGTTGAAGTGCCCAGTATTGTGGGTCCACGACTTTGATCTGACTTTGTCATCTCCTATTCTCCTCCTTCATACCTGCAACTCAGCCCAGCTTCCTGCAGGTCATGTGCCTTTCACATGCATGTGCCTCGCAACAGACAGATACAACCAGCTCCAGATGCGCCTCCCCTCTGTCTGCTCCTATTCATCCCTTCCCTGTCTGCTCCTGTGTCCCTCCGAACTTCTCCCCTCTTTCCGCTCTCCCTCCCGCCTTCCCGCCCTCCCCTCCTGCTCCCTGCAGTCAGAACGTCACTCGCCTGGCCAAGGCATGCGCCTCTGCAGATACAGCCTGCTCTAGATGCGCCTCCACGCTTTCTGCCGCAGCTGCCGCCCTGGCCCGCTACAGCCCGGCTGTAGCGGCTCGCACTGCGGCAAGGGGAAGCGCGGGTAATGCGAGCATGGCTGCTGGTGAACCCACCACTGCACCATCCGAAGCAGTCATGGATGATTGTGCCCGAGTAACATTCGTGAGGGTGGCTCAGGCTCAGGTACGACTCTCTCGTCGTGTGCCCTCCTTCCTGTCCTTGTGTGCTTACCGTGTGGCTTGTAAAACCACCACTGCACCGTCTGAAGCGGTCATGGATGACTGTGGGCGAGTGACATTCGTGAGGGTGACTCAGGCTCAGGTACGACTCTATCTCGTCGTCTGCCCCCCTTTGGCCGTGTATGTTCTACCACTGTGCGCGAGTGCCATTCGTGAGGGTGGCCCAGGCCCAAGTACGTTCCTTCACCTTTATTCGTCCTCCTTTTGTCCGCCCTTTCTCGGTGCAGCCCGGCCGTAGAGGCACGCATTTCAGCGAGGGGAAGCAGCGGTACGGTAATAATGCGACAAACACCCTCCTGCCTGACAATTTGCCCCTACTGCCCTTGTGCTTGCTGTTTGTCTCCAGAGCTGGCGAGCGGCACCAGGGCTTGTAACCCTGCAGCTAGACTGCCCCATTGTCTAGCCCTGCCCCCCCGAGGATCGACTCACCTCACCTGCATCATTGGCAAATCTTTGAGTCGCCTACTGTATGTGGAGCAGACTCTGCAGCAGCCAGACGTTAGAGAGTGTGGGGACGATGGGCTTTTACGATTAGCTAGGACCGCTGCTGGCGTGCAGCCAGTGAACCTAGGTGTGTGCGGCTGTACATTATGTAGAGAGTGCTGTACATGCTTGTGTTATGTGTGCGCATGTCATTAATATGTGATTTTGTTTCACCATGTACACCGATATACAAACTGTTACCGGAACAATATAATATCTGTACAAAGGATAGCTTAGCAAGCCCCTTGCCGGCTCAATGTACACATGCTCGGTACACGTAGCAGGCGAACAGCCCTTGCTCTCACAAACAGCGCTGGAAATGACAGCGACTCGCCCTGCACGGTGGGACGGGGAGGGTATAGATGGGAGGGTAATAGTTAGGACAGCAGGGTAACCCCCACTCCCAGGTTCATCGTCAAGGGTAGAGCTAATGCATGCATGCCTTATCATGTACAACATATTATGCACGGCCTACCATCATCCCATGCATAGCCCATAATCCCATGCATAGCCCATCATCCCATGCATAGCCCATAATCCCATGCATAGCCCATCATCTCATGCATGGCCCTTCATCGCATGCATAGCCCATCACCCCAAGCATAGCCGTTCATCCCATGCATGGCTCATCCCATGCATAGCCCGTCATCCCATGCATGGCCCTTCGTACCATGCATAGCCCATCATAGAGCTTAGCAGATGTAGAAGAAGGAAACGAGGGGAGGTAGGGGAGAATGACGAAGAGGAGGGGGAGGTGCGGGGGGGGAAGGGGGAGAGGAGGAGGGGAAGAGGGAGGATTGGACGTAAGGAGAGGGAGAGGGAAGTGGCTGATGAAACGTACCATTGCTGTTTCAGTGGAAGCTGCGGTGACAGTGCAACTGCAGTTTCAGTGAAACAACGGCAACAGGGGACGCGGGGGGAGTCGTGAGCTTGACTGCAACGGATATAAGAACCAAGCAGGGAAATACGAATTTGGCGGAACAGTAAAATCTGACATGGAACAAAGTGAGGACGGCAGAATTCACGCACTGATGCCTGAACAGGAACGATCGGATCCCATTCAAAGGGAAAACTCGGCAAAACCTGTCTCCCTCGTAGTGCTTTCTCAGGGATTAGGGATTTCAAGCAGTGCAATGTGAAACCAGAGCAAAATCTGACTGTATCGCAAGTGCAAGTGTTTTTATGGTCAATAATAAATAATGCAACGCACTTGAGCCTGTGATCGCAGTCTGAAAGCACGCCTTTAATCCGCAAGTCGTTTAAGAGCTCCAACTCCACCGCGCGCCCGATCGCAGATCGCGCCGCCTCGACCGCGCGAGAAAGCCCTAATCCACCCTCTGAGTTCCCCCTCTCTACTGCCTCTGCTGCTCCGGAAAACCTTAATCTATCTGGAGTTGAAGGCGCAGGGGCGGAAGCGCCGTCAAGATGCGCGGGTTTCGTGCACGCGTCGGCCGCCATTGTGGACAAGTTATCCAGTTAGCGAAGGTTCTTCAGCAGCTCGAACCAACTACTAAACCCCTGTAGGCTGTGCTGACCCTGACAACTGTGAGGGTTTTTGTGTGGCGTACGCTCCCACTAGCGAGGCTAATTGTTTGTGGATGCTAGGTTAGCAGATAATCAGGAATAGCGAAACACCCTCTTTATACATGGAGCAGCATTACGAAGTCATTTATAAACGGAAACGGATCTTTTTTCCTAAGGCATCCAAAAAAATGGGTAAACCGAAATTTACGCTCATCACCTGCCTCGACACGCTCTCAAACGCAAAGCACTTCGGCGGCCATGTCAAACCTAACTCGCCGCAAATTATTTCCGGATACAGGCTTATTATGTAGCTTGCTAGAGCTCGAGGAAGGAGAGCTGTAGGGTTTCACGACGCCATTGCTGCTGAACTTGGTGGTATCCTCTTCCAAAAACGATGGACTTTCAGTGAAAACCGCAGAAAAAACTTCATGCTGATCAAAGAACTCCGCAGTTGCTGTAGTAGGCGACGATAATGGGGCAGCTGAAGACGAGGATGGAGATGAGGAATGAGGCCACCTCCTGCACGCGGGAGCCGTCACACACGATCTGCAGGGGGACAGAAGCGCCTGTTCCAACCGCGACTCGCACTGTTCCTCGACCTCACATCCCCCGCACCTCCTGACTGGATGACGCGAACCAGCAGCGCGCCGAGTCCGCTCCATGTGATTGTCGCTATTGCACCGCTGAATGCAGCGGTCTCCGCCACCCGCGGACGGGCGGAAGCACGGTCGCCGCTGGCCCGACCTGAAGCCAGTGCGCGGCGCCGAGGCTGGCGGAGAAGGCGCAAAAAACACATCTCCGTCACCAAGAGTCGTATTCGGAGCGTCGGGGGAAAGCGGCGGGCTCGGTGGTGATTGCCGAAAATGTGGAAATGCTCGCGGCGCGGAAGCATGGCGCGACGGCGGAGTTGGCGAAGAGATCGGCGGAGAGCGACGTTGAGTGGCATGGGGAGGCGGAGTCGGCTGGTTCGGAAGGCGGAGCTTTTCGTGCGGAACTTGCCCTTTTTGGTTCGGCAAGGGCGGGCGCTGATTTGGTGAGACAAGCCGCTTGGGAACAGGCGAAAACGACAGCGATGGCTTGGGAGGAGCAAAAGGCGGAGATGAATGGGGAGGAGGCGTCGCGAACGACGGAGAGGATGATATCGATGGTGGCGGCGGCGTAAGCCGCGGCCCCGACGCGCGCGGTGGCGCAACTGGCCGCGAAGTGGCTTGAGGCGATTCGCGCTGGCGTAACGGCCTAACTTGCCTCAAACGCCGCTGTTGGGGCGGTGTCTTTGCAGCCGAAACTTGCGGCGTCTTCGCCGTCGTAACTTGCGGCGGCGCCATAAGCGACGACTGACACGGCGTGGAAGGATGCGGCACGAGCTTGCCTCCACGAACGAGCAGACGTCCGGCTGCAGGCGGCGGTTTGCAGACCGCGTCACTACCGCCGCCGGCGCGACCGTGAGCAGACTGAGACGCCGTCACGAAATGATAGACCCGTTGACGACGCGAAGATTCGGGGCTTGCAGGAGCCGATGCCGACAACTGATGACTCATCAGATGCGCACGCTCGTGCTCCGAACAGAAACTCAGATGATCCTCACCGAACTCATTCTGATGCCGATACTGCTTATCATCGCCATGATGGCGCTGATTGTGGTAGTAATCGTCCGACGAGACGTGTTGGAGGTAGTCTTCGTCGTGAGGTGTTTGCCGCCAGTGGTTGGCGTTTTGTGTCGTGCTCGAGAGGAGGGCGGACTGGCGAAGCGGACGCGACGGCGGATGACACATATTGAATCTTTGTTAGGAAGCAGCAGGGTAGATACGTGCGAATAATGGACGTAAAAGCGAGCGGCGAGGTGGACGGATATACTCGGTGCGGTATGCGATAAGTGCTGTAGAGGAGAAACCGACGGTGGTGAGAGGTAAAATGGCTGCTGTTGATCCGGCGAAGCAGCTCTATTTGTTTGGGAGGGCGAGACGGCGAATGAAAGGATGTTTTAGGCGGATGCAGAATGAGCAGAATGCAATGCGGAGATGTCTGACGAAAAACTTCTTGATGGCTGCACACCTTGAGTGGAGCCAGTCTGTGTGATGTGAAGTGCAACGATTTGAGGCACCAAAGCTTGGCAATGAGAGATAGTGCAACGCTGTCACAGACAACTGATGGAGTGACGATTTGGTGAAAAGTGGCATTGCTGTCGAATTGCTGCTGCGTGGGCTGCCCAGCCTGGCTTTCCACTGGTCTGTCCTGCCCTGCCCTGCTCTAGCCAACCTCGCGTTGCCATGCCAGGCATATGGTCTGATCTGGACTTCGGGCATCTTCTTCAGGCCTCCACTGCACTGTTCGCTTTCCCGCCTTGATGGGGCTAGGGCAGCACTGGCAGGAAATAAATAATAACCTGGGCTGAGCGTGCACTGTACCGCTTTGAACAATCAAGCACCAGTTAGATTCAACCATTCCCATGGTAAGAAAATGGGCAGGGATTCGGCAATCAATGCGTACGTCACCCTCACAAGCAAATTGTTTACCTTGGGCAGCATAAAACAAGGCGGCGGATCGTTTCCACGAGACGGTCAAGTTTGGATACGCGCCTCGCTTTTGCGGTGCGACTCCCAGACGATATCTGCTGCAAACTGCACCGGATCAGGTTCCTTCGTTGCTCAGGATTGAAGAACAAAAAGAGCTGGAAAATACACGATAATGGGGCCCTTTTTCCTACTTACCGCATAGTTTTCAAATCCTAGAAGCAGAAATCGACATCGTCAGCTTATTATATCAAACTGAAAAAGTGATGTGTGCTGTTGAGGTAAGCCCCGATCTATACGGGGTGCCCGCAGGATGCTTGTCCGAAGCGGAAGCAGTAGCCGACCCAAAATCTGTCCGAAAAAAGACACGTGAGACATCGTCATCCTTCTTTCTCTCTTCTCCACACAGACCCTGTCCTCTTCCCTGTCCCCACCACTCATAACCGAAAAAACTGTAGGAAGTCATTTAAGTCAGTTTCCATCTTTGTGAAAATCAACACTCAACCCCCAACAATTGGGCTGATTGTCAATTTTTATTACAATACGTATTTCTACTACAACACGTAGAAACTTTCGGATGGTTCGGGGATAAATGGATTTGAATAGACAAAATATCTGTCATTCAAGACCACAGCAGGCTCCTTCCTTGCATTCCCTGACGTCCAAACACTGTAGCCCGTGCTTCCGCCGGTGAGAGAGGTGAGAAAGAGGGTGTACCATG